TCGTCTTAACCCACCTCCCTCTGCCTGCCTGGGAGCTGCTGCTGCTTCTTCCTGGGAGCCGTTTCCGGCAGCTGAATGGAAGTGTTACTATGCCGGTCTCTTTTTCCAAATTCTCTGTAGGTAAATGAAGAGTTAGTACACTGCTCCACAAGGCTTGTAGCCGAGCCAGGCAAGTGAGTGGTACCAGTGCTGGAGATGAATTTCTACAGTCTTTAGGGGGAAGGAAGAGGATGAGAGTTCATGTTATTGAAACCATGATCGCTCCTGTAACTGTTAGAACGGGGGACGGGACTTTTCTTTTTCCCCCAAACAGAAAATATTTGGCTCTCAGAAGTGTTCTGTTTTTTAAGGAAAAAAAAAACCTTGTGCAATCAACAGGGAGTAAAAGTAGGAAGGAGAAATGCCTGTCCTTAAGCCTCTCACCATAGTGAGTTGAGCATACTGGTGAAGTTTGCAGTTGACTTCAGCAGTTGTGGCTCCTCTTAATTTTGGTACACAGAAAATTTTAGAGACCTCCTCTTGGAAAGGGCAGGGGTAAGGAAATAAGTGCTACTGAGAAAGTCATGATAGTTCTGGTGAAAATTAAAAGCAAGCTTCAAGTGCCAGTATTGATATCAGCATTTAATCTGTAAATCCAGCACAAACTGAAAAATGGTGGAAACCTCCATGTTATGGTCCAAAGTGTTTCTAGATGATGGTGACGCCATACCTTTACTTACTACCCTGTTCCCTTTTTGGAGGGAGGGGTGTAAAACCAGACTGCCTTCAAATGTAAAAGAAAAATCAATGACTGATGTTAATCTCTCTGAGATCTTGCCATGCAAGTTAACAGGTTTCTTTTGTTCACCGCATCCTACAGTCATTGCAGGCAAACAATTGCAGTTATGACTACTCTGAATTATTGTAGCGCTAGTGTGAAGTACCATCTTTCTGAGCAGTTCTTGTGGGAGGATGGGAATTGTGTTAGTGTTTAAGTAGCTCGGTATGTGGAGATTGACTTTTCCCAGTTCCGTAACTAGCTTTTCTGAAGGCTGGCAATATGTTAATTAGCCACATAATCACAGTGTATCAGGGAAAATCATATTTTTGATGAAGTTCTGAGGGTACTTTCACATCTCGGGAGGGGGGTGCCACAGACATCAATTTAGTGGATTTTGGTACAACTGGGATCAGAGAACGTGCTTTTAAGGTAGAAATAGTGAAGCTAAAAGAACTGGGCATGACTTATAAGGAATCCCTCCTGTTGTCCAGCTCTCTGTAGTGTCCAACTTGAAAATGAATGGATCATAATGAAGTATCTCTTGCTGGACTGTGAAACAATCAACTGATTATGTAAAAGTGTCATAAATTGCCATCCTTTAAGTGATTTTGAATTTTTATTACTCTTTCAAAACTAGTCCATTTAGCCTGTCATTTTAACTTCTTGTTTGCTGTACAGTAGAAGCTGAAAATGCTACTCTGATGTGGTTGCTAAAACTTAGTTTTATATCAGTCTATGTGAAAAGAGAGGGGAGAATCTGCCTTGCACAATACAGGTCATTCTCAGGTCAACAAAATATGTAACCTCTGCAGCTAAGTCCTAAAGATATTAGGAGAAGTGGTGAAAGGAATACTGATCCTACTTGTGGAGTAGAAGAGCTACAGTGATGCATTTCCAGTTAATGCAGCAGAGAAAACTACCTTGTTAAAGTGAAGATTGACCATGGAACTTGCGTCCTCTACCACTTTTCCACAGAATGTGTGCGATTTACTCTTTCCAAGCAGACAGTAACTAGTTGGCAGGTAATGCTGTGGCTTTAAGTGGAGTTTTAGATTTCAGAATTTGCTGTTATTTTAGCAATGAGTTGGTTTAAAATGAACAGTTTATATGAACTTAGTTATGCAAACTGTTATTGTAGGGTGAAGATTGACTGGGTTTTCTGAAGGCTTTTGTTTGCTCCTTATCGCTTATAAGAAGTTGCTCAACTTCCTTGTAACTATTCCCATTGAAAGTCTGATATTACATAATTGGGAACATGTCCTTCTATCTTGTAGTGGTGTTTGGAGCTGGAGCAACCAAGCAAAGTTCTCCAGAGGCAGGCTCTTCCAGGAGAGAAAGAACTTTTAATGGTATTTTATATAATTCTGACTGGTGCATAGGAATAATTTCAAATATTGTTTTAATAGGTCCCCTAGTCAAACTCCAGAGAACCTCAAAACTTATTTGACAGGATGAATGTGCTGCTTTTCTTATTCTAGAATTAAGTCTCCAGCCTGAATCAGAAGCTGGTGGAAATGTTGATGATAGAACCTTGTGTTGTCCTTATTCTGCTGTTTTGCCTGGATAAAGAGACCGTCCCATGATAGGGTTATTGGTAGAGTTCATCTTTTGATGTGAATTCTTTTCTTAAAGCTTCACTTCACAATTCAAAAAACACTTCCCCTAGCAGAAGATGGAGAATAGGTTTTCCCAGCTACAAGCAGGAAAAGGGCGTTGCATAAATTGAGCAATATTTTATATTTAGCTATGCCTGCAGGAAACCTGTGTATAATTTGTTAGATGTTTTGGGATTAGCAATAACCTTTTCTACTTCTTTAGTCTAAGTAATCAGTTTAGAAAATGAAAGATAACGATGCGATCTCTGCAGCTCAGCTTCACTGCCTCATTGCACTGGTCTTAATACTGTTGAGCTACTTTGTCATCATTTGGTCACTATCTAGTCAATATATTGGCTTTTCATACTGTAGAGGGAGCCTTTCTGTGAGCTTAGAATGTTGCCTTTTGTTCTTAGTCTAACACAAGTCTTGATTTATTTATTGGTGCGTGGTCTATGTGCAGTGAAGTTAGTTGACATTGATAAAAGGCTTACTCCGTTCCACCTCAATTCAACATAGTACATCATTTTTACTCTATCAGTTACTGTACTCTATATGTAAAGCTCTAATTTGAGGAATGAAGTTCTGCTTTTCTGCAATACCTTATTTCCATACAGACACAATTTGTACTCTTGATTACTGTTCATTGACTTCTTGTCAGTGAAATCCCTTTAAAAAAAAAAAAAAAGGCAGTACTTCCTGCTTATTGGTACAACTGGAATATTAAATCTTCATTATTCTTGTGGCTTCTGTTGCGGCAGACTTGTAGAATTTATGCTGTGATTACTAACGTCATTATCAAGGAAAAGTAACAACAAGAGCTCAAGGGGTTATGTTGCTAGTTATGGTCATGTCTTACTGAGCTTTTCAGTCTTCTAGTTGCTTCCTTGTTGATTAGCGTGCCAAATACATCTTGTGTATTGTGTCTTAAAGGATCACAGCAAATAGGCACCAATGGAAGTAGTGGTGAAAGTCATATTTGGAGGTGGTTCTTCCTTTTTGAACCTCAATCAGTTGCAGTTTTGTCTCATGCCTACACTTTCAGTTGAGGTTGTGGCAGAATGGCTGGGTGAATATGAATCTGAGTCTGTTTTTCCTCAGCTCTTCGTTTGTCTCTTCATCAGTAGAAAATAAGTAATTGGATGACAATTTGAATAAGTTAAACTCATTTTTAGGTAGCAAAGTAAGTATATGGATGTCTTAGTACCTAAGTTCTGACTACTTAAGACAGTCATCAGAGCGTAATTTGTTGACATGTAACAGCTTTTCATTAGATGTTGTTCATTTCTGTCTGTTTCTTGTGAAATGGAATGAACGTTTAACTTTTGCCTCTTTCAGAAGAAATCAGTTCACTCAGAAGATCCATTTAATGATGAACAACGTGAACGGCATGAAGTAGAAATGCTAGCCAAGAAGTTCGAGGCGAAATACGTGAGTTACTGTACCTGTGTTAAAACATACAAATCTTTAGTGGTAATTTCTGACATTAACATCTATGCGGCATCATTTTTTTTCCTGAATAGAGTTGCTAATAAATGCCAAACAACTTCTGTACGTATCAGCTGACTTTCATTATATTTCATCTAAGCAGTTTGAAGCTGCTACAGGCTTATTAGATGAGTCTGTTGTTAAATAGATTTTTCTGTAGGATGTTATAGCTTGTGAGGCTATTCTTGGAAAAGCTTCCTATAGAAATACAACTGAGTAATAGATGCAGGTCAATGTTCATGATAAATACTGCGCTGGAGGAAAGAATTCTTATGTAATGCTGTTGTGCACTGTTAAATGGCTCTTCTGTTTTGTGCTAAATACAAATGAATCTTGATGCATTTGTGCCTAGTTTGGAATGCTTCCTTAGGAAGTTATTGCCAAGTGAAGAAGTCCTCACTTGAGTTTCCTGTAGCTGCCTAAAGGTACTCTGCTTAGTCCTGAAAGCATAACATGAATGACTTGAACAGCACCAGGTAGCGACATAAAGAGGCTTCTACTAGTAAATGGAGGTAGAAATCAGAAAATGTTGACTAAAACCACACCCAAAACAGGTCTTTAAGAATTCAGACAGGTAGGGTTGGGTGATTAATTCTGAGCTGGCAATGAAAACTAATCATCATGCTTAGACATGTTGATATTCTGGCTTAGTAATACAGCACCTCAATAGTAAAAAGAAGGAACAGCAGTTATTTGTATCTTTTTGTTATTAATATATGAATTTTAAATGTTATTTGTCTAATTTCTTTGGATTATCTTTGGCAAAGGCAGATTTGCCTAATGAGCGTTGGTCTATATTTTGCGGAAGTAATTGCTATTAGCTGTGATACGTAAGAGAAGAAATTCTTAAATTGAAAAGAACCATTGTCATCTTTTGGAGGGATTGACATAAACTCAATATATAAGAGTACAGAGAAGACAATTTCATAATACTGTTTAGTCTTCATTTGAATACAGTTTTTTTGAACTTAGAAAAATCTTTCAACTGTACTTTTCTGTAGAACTTATTTCCATAACATATGTTATGAGTTTTACAATGTCCTGAAACAAGCTGCATAACTATAGCAAATGAAAGTCATTGTAGAAAATGTAAAGCGATGTATGTGGGGAGTAGTAGTGGGGAAAGAAATTCTAACATTACGTACACCTTTGCACGTACATCTGAAATAATGATTGCCATTTATGGACGAGATATGGTGCTACTAGATTCATAAAAACTTCAGTTCAATGCTCCGTAGTCGAGAAAAAAGGAAAATAGAATATTCCTAACTATTAGGAAAGCAACAGATAATGAAATAGGAACTATCATTAAACCACCGTCTAAATCCATAGTGTACTCATATTTTGAATAGTGTTTTCACTTTTGATTTCTTGCCTTTCTGTCGTTCCCTTCCACACCTTAAACTCCCTCTCTTCCCCCCCCCCCCCCAAAAAAAAAAAAAAGGAAAAAAATCTTATAAAGGAAATGGCTTCTGTACAAAGAAGAATTTAACAGATTAGGACCACTAAGCATAGAGGGTGGCTAGTGATTGATAGTTCTTTTGTTAGATACTCCCTGTTCTTTCTCTCTTCCAGTACAAGAACAATCAGTCTCTACTTACCCTCCATGCTCAGTGGGATTACATCTTTGTACACTGATCCAGTACAGTTGCTCATGTTCTGACAACATCCAGCCTTCTCGTAAATCTTGCGGAGAGACGTTTGCTCCATAGCTTAAACTAGAACAAGGATCCCATGAAGTAAATACCAGTTCTCCTCTTTCCTCTAACAGTACTTTTTATATGAAAAATGATCGTTGATTGTATGAGAATGAAGTAGCGTTTTTCTTCAAATTTGCAGGAAAGTGTTTGTTTCTTCTTAAATTAATTAGGTATTATTTGTCTAAATCCATTTAAAGTGTAGCCAAATTATCTTTTTAATCATAGTGTATGTGGCAGCTGTCAACTTTGCACTGATGCTGCATTCATTTAGAAAAATGTAATGCACATCAAAATTAATCTTACTTAGGCTTTTTATTTATTTTCAAGTAAATTCCTTTATTCATAATCAGTACAGTATTGGATATATATCTTGCTGATTCTGCAAAAGAGGTATGAGTAAGTAAATTTTCGTAAAACAAGATGTGTAAAGTTAGTGTAGCAGCATTTGCTTGCTTGATTATTAAGAACTTTTTTGAATGGATGAATTACTTCACATTTTAGAACATCAGCGAGGAAGTCTGTTCTGAATGGTTCTCCTTTATAGTTCTCTTGTTATTTCTCAAGACAAAATCAAACAAATGGCTGCTTGTTGGGCCTACCAGCCTGGCATGTTGAGTGTGTTGTAAAAATGTGATACTGAATCTCAGATGATATTTTGCATAATGTAAGAATTTTTACTGGATCAGAACAAAGGTTCATTTAATGCGTGGTAGTATAGTCCTCTGACACTAGTGGAATCTCATACTTGAAAGTTTAGCACTGTGTAAGTGTACATTGATGTCTTTTTCAGTGTGTCTTTCTAGTGATCTGGTTTAATTTCTTCCCGAGTCAAAGGCTCTGTGTTTAACTGCCCTTCATATAGTTTTCTCCTATGAACTTGCTTAATCATTTTCTGAGTTCATTGATATGTCTGAGATTGTGTCCCATGGCAATGAGTACCATGTTGATTACATCATATGAAAACACTTTGTTTTAAACCCATTGGCTAATGTGTTCAGAGAACTCCATAGTTCTTGTACTGTGAGAAACAATGAAGAATTGTTTCCTGTTCACCTTCTCCACGTTGCATGTGATTCTGGTACTATCATCTGAACTCAGCCCTTTCTTTCCTCAGCTGAAGTGTCTTAACGTTCCATTCTTGTACAGAAGTTGAATTTTTTTAACCTTCAAACATTCCTGTTAGTTTGCTTGCTTCTATTTTTTTGTTCTAATTTATTCTTTTAAATGAAAGGATATCAGTGGTAGGATGCGCTGATTTATCAGTGATACAATGATGATTTCTGTTTTTGTTCTGTGCTTTGCTTCATAAATCTTAACACTGTTCTCTTTTTGACCACTCTTTTTTTTTTTTGACTGGTGTCAGAGTACTGTGTGTAACAATTCCAGTGCTTCCTGAGCAGCATAACAAATTGAGAGCACGTCTTTTTTTTGTTGTTGCTGCTGTTGTTGAGGTTTGCTTTCTTTGTGTGCATTACCTGACTTTTATTGATACTGAATCCAACTGATTGTCATGCTAAATACTAAGCAACTGTGAGGTCTTCCAGTGGTTCTTCAGTTGCATTTTGTTTACTATCCTGACTAATTATGTCCTCTCAAATTTTGTGTGGTTCCCCCTCCCAACCCTGCTTCATGCCCACTGTTAGCCCTCTCTCTCTCTCTGAAGGTGAAAAGCGCAGATCCCTTGGTGATACCACTGATGATGATGATCTTTGCCAAAGTGAGCTATTTATTGTTACCCTTTGTTTCCTAGCCTTAAGCCAGTCAATAATTTGAGTAGGCCTTTCCTCTTATCTCATGATACCTTGTTTTCTTTAAACATCTTTGATGGACCTTATTTAAAGCTTTTGAAGTAGGACACTTCTACCTACTTTGGTTCTTTTCTGCCCTGGAATGTATATTCTCTTGATAGACATTCTAATTCTGATGATCCTGTTCTTTATAACTTCTATTAACTTGCCCAATAATAAAGGTCAGGTTTACTGGCTTATAGATTCCTTTTGGGCCATTGGAAGACTTGTTAAAATTGGTATTGTATTTGTTGCATTCTAGTCCATTGTACAAAGGTGGCTTAACTTTGGCTTGTAACTTAAGTTTTAATCTGTTGAGTTTGTATTTGAATTTCCTGAACACACAGTCTTGGGAGTTAAAACATCTTAACTTGCTGTAGTATTATGCCTGCTTATGTTTTGAGACAAAGGTTGAAGGAACTGTTTTGGGAGAGGTGGAAGTTAAGGGCTTCAGTGAGAAAACGTCCCTGAACCCCTCTGTAGTTAACAGCGGTGCAGATAATTCCTTCAGTTTTTGTGCTGTAGTACTGCATCCTTACCGTCTTGATTCTACGGACTTTTCGGCGAACTCCCTTAAACGTAACTGGGTACAGTCAGGCCTGAAGGAAATTCTTTAACTATACATACGGTGGTTCAGATATCCTCGTATATCTGAATACAGCTTATTGCTTTGATCCTAGTTTTAGTCATTCTGCTCTTATTAGGCTTCTGTTTCATTTGTTAGCTTTGTCCCATAACTGCATCGTGATTTTTATGAATACCAGGCAGTAAGAAGGTATTGAACATTTTTTTCTTTTTATGCCCGTACTCGGAAATAGCTATTCCTGCAAAACGATTTGGGCATGCAATCAATGATGTAGGCCTTCTGAGTGTTTCACCCATGGTTATTTGGATTTAGGAAGAGATCTGGTACAGAGATGGATTGCACTGTAATCATTAAAGAGATAAGTAGAGGTAAAGTATAGTTTAAGTAGTGTTCTTGAGACACCCAGCAGGTGCCTCCATCAATCATGACAGCTAAATAAGCTTTGCATGATATGTAGTGAAAATTCAACAGTGAGAATTCTTACATGCTACCTCTATTTTTTTTTTTAAGATTTTTTTTCTCCTCTTGTAAACTCTTAATGTACTGCATGTTTTGTGGATATGCAATCATTCAGATGTTTGACCAGCTGAGTGAGTGTGTGTGTGGTTGGGGGTGGGGTCGGAATAGGACTGATAAGGTTAGGAATAGTGTTATAAAGCTTGAAAACCTGAATTAAAAATGAAACTCACTGTTATGGAAGCAGTTCAGCCCTAGGTCTCCAAGGAGCAGAGTCTTATGCAGGTATAGCAGCAAAATTATTTATTGATTGATTGGGTACAGCAAAGCAACAGCTTGAGCTGGGTGCCTCCAAGGAGGGACCCCAAACAAAGAAATTCTGGGCTAATTATACCCTTTACAGGCTTATTTTCCCCACCTGCCAGTGAAGGTCTCTTCTAATCTTCTTTGCTGAGTTGGTTGTCTCTCTCTTTCTGATTGTTCCTGGCCTCCATCCCAGGCTGGTTGCTATGTCCTTGTCTTCGAGTCCCTTATCTTACTTGAAGGTCAACCATAACCCAGGTGCATCCCATCTTGTCTCCTGCATCCTGTTTTGTATCCTCATTAGCTGGTTTTAATTGGTTTTGTGGTTGCATCATCAGCAATGTTTCTTGAGTTCACTGACAGTTTGGCCTTGAGGCCTGCAGGCTTCATCTACTTTAGACTCTAGTGCTAAGCAAGAGTGTGACTTATGCTAAGCTGAAGCTAAATCAGCTACAGTTTCCTTCTCTAACACTCACTTTTGAGTTTTTTCTGCAACTATCTAATTTATCTATTTAATTATACTTGAGAGATTCCTGTTTGCTTGCAAGAACCTACATAGGAACTCAAACTTGGTTACAAAGTAGTATTAAAATACAAGTGTTCAGATGCTTACATTTTTATTAGAGCAAGGCAGACACTGTTCAAAGGAAGTTACAGCCTGCTCACAGTAATGAGTGGGCTGTGATATTTGTATCTCACAAATGAAAGGACTTGTACTTGTTCTAAACATGCTTAGAACTGCAGAATGCAGGGTGAGAAGCTTCAGGGGCAAGTCATCTTGAATCTATGCAAAAAAAAAACAAAACACATTACTGTTTTAGTGAAGGAGATGCCTTTTGGAGGATGCTGTCTTTAAGAATTTTATATTGACACATTTGGATAGCTGTAGGTTTAGATTTCCTGAATTCTGTCTGTTTGAGCTGCGTATGACTTCTTACTATTTCACTTGCACATTAGAAAAGAATTCAACAGAATTATCTGAAGTTTATTGTCTCCTGGGAGTAAGTGAACCTACAGTTTAAGTTGCAACTTCTGGCTTTATGTTACTAAAGTAATCATTTCATGTTTGGTCCTACCAATTGTGGTGATAGCTGTTGCATTTCAAAGGATTTTACTTCAGTGATGTTTTTCTTCAGTTATGTTAAATGAATGCTAAAACTTCTTCAAACTTCATATGCATATGAAAGGTCAACGTTTTCCTCTTATGCCTTAGTCTTCACCTTTCTGGACAGAAGCAATCTATCTTGTGTGGGAGAATGTTAGTGAATGCTAGGTCATTTGTGTTTTCCTTTGTAATGACTGTAACATACCGGAAAAACTTAAACTTTCTAAATTATACCAGTCCTTTTACCGCCAATGAAAATTTTAAAAACTTAGGTTAATTAAATGTCTCTAAATAGGAAATATTATGAAGGTCTCAGTCACTTGGAAAGCAAGTGGCTAGTGAATGCCTTACAGGGATGATTCTGGTGAGACTATTGTCTGAATTTCAGCACGTTTGCAGGAACTCATCATGTTTTGTATGAGAAAAGTCTCTGGAGAGTTATGCCTTCTAGTTTTTAGTCATCTAGACTATCTTTGAGGAGACGTGCAAGAAAGCAAAACTCTCCTAATTCCCTGGATGACCATCCCTTTAATGCTATCTGTTTCATGGATTTTAATACTTAGTGCATTGCTTCCCCCTCCCTAATGATCTAACATTTATTTTGTTTTCAGGGTGGAAAGCCCCACAAACATCGGAAGGATCGCCTGCAGGATCTGATTGATATAGGTTATGGTTATGATGAAACAGACCCTTTCATAGATAATTCTGAAGCGGTAAGTAAGCCTTATTAAAGCAGCCACAAGAAATAAAACAGTATTTTACTCTTTTTCTTTTTTTCCTGAAGAAAGAGGAAAGATAAGGGGAAATACTTTGTGCCCATGTGTAACTGGTGTGTGGATCCAAAGGATGCACTACTTCAGGCATCCAAGGAACTATTGTATTTATTGTAATCTCATTCAAGCATTGTGATGCATTGGAAGATTTAGGAAAGCTATTACTATATCACATATTTAGTTTTCTTCAAATGTATTTAAGATTTCCAGTTTTAGAAATAAAACTGTCTTTATTCATACACTTCATTTATCTGTGAAATTACACTGACTCTGTTTGCTTTATTGTACCAGCTGTCTGGATTACTAGTAGATTACTAATGTTGGGTTTCCTGCATTAGGTAGGGATGCTATTCTGCTCTCAAAATAATCACTACATTCTTACAGGTTTTTAAACATTCACTGAGCATATCTGAAAAATTTGAGAGCGCCACTTGGTTAAACAGCAAGATTTTTCAGCTTATTTTATTTGAGTACTTTTCAAAAACAATGCTATCTCAAATGAGGTAAAAGAAAAGGGATTTAGTTAAGTGCCGGTAATGTCAGGGATTCTGGGAAGCTTATAAGAGGACACGTAAAGAAATCCTAGAGGTGATCTAGGAAATCATGACAACAGGGAAGAAGCAGCTCAGAAGAATGGATGATACTGGGAACCTCCTGTGACTCACCTTTACACAATACCAGGAAGAATTAGGTGCACTGTTTAGTGAAGCCAGCCAGCCTTCGGTCTCCCCCACTGTCTTTATCTGTTGAGTGACACTGGAGAAAACAGCTGCAACAAGGGGGCTGAAAGTTGAGTGGGAGAGAAAAGATGATGAAAAGGAGTTGTGAGAAAAGAGTAGAAAAAGCACCAAAGTACTTAGCATATATATTATGCTGCTCCTCAATTTGAATGTGATATTAAATCCAGGAAACTATAAATCCTTTCTAAGGACTTCTGTGAACACTGAGCTGTGAGGTCTCTAGCACAGAGCTGTTGGACTGCATATTGCTATTCACAGTGTAGGGTGCATAGGAGTCACGCTGTAGAACCGATACCTTCTTGCACAAAAGGACCTCAGCTATTCACTGCAGTGGATAACAGGCTTGTCTTTTTGGCTTGTCTTTTTGTATTTAGTTTTGGTAACTAAACAACTGAACAAGTTGTGCAAAAAATAAGTTGCTGTAGATGCTTATCTTGGCTTGTATTTGTCGCTCTTGGTTTAGACTAAAATTTTAGTTGAACTTACCTGTATTAAACTATCCTGTCATCTCCTTCAGCTTTTGGTTGTGCCACTGTGACCATATCGAGGTCCATACTAAGACTTAGTGTGTCCTGTCCAATTTCAGATTGTCATCTTCGGCTCAGTAACCATAGAAGATGATGTGCTGCTTTCCTTTGAGAAACCAGTAGTCTATAGGCTTACCTTTTTCTCAGTGTTGCTCAAGATAACTATCCTCAGTTTCAAAATCTTCTGATACAGGACCTGAGTTGTATCTTGGTTTTCTGAATTTATCATGGCCTATCATGGGTTTGATATTTGAATTCAGATAGCATTCAGTGAGCTGTCTACTATTCATAGTACAGGACTCTCTCGATGCTGTACTTGAATCTAGCAGGCTGTTTCTAATACTGTGCCTGTTTCGAGGGCTGCTGTTGTCAGCAGCAGATCCATTAGATCTGCAGTAGCGTTTACTTCTGATATCTCTTGCCAGACTCCTTGCAAGAACATACAAAAGGCAGTTGTCAGAGGACCAAATGGTTGTGTCATGTGGTAGCTGTGGAAGCTACTGGGGAGAATGGTGTATTCTCTAAAGATTGCTCTCCTGAACATATCATTTTGCCTTATGTCTGCGTTGCAAATAGACTATTGAGAGGTCATCTCTCAGTTCTGCTTTTATCCGTTTCTATATAGAAAAGCAGAAAAATGCACTGTATACAGCTGTCAGTCTAGATTCCTGTTGCAGAGTTTAAGGATCCTGTAACGTAGGAGTTAAGTTCAACAAAACCTCTCATTCCATCTCTGTCAGATGCAAATGGAAAAATGTTTGGAAGGAAAGCCTTCGTGTCTGGTTTGCTCATCTTTTATGTGGCCAGCTATTAAATCATAGTGCACCTTGAGAGATGTCACAGGCAGGCCCAGCCTAGACTTATCTTCCAGAAGGAAGCACGCTTTCTGATACACAAAAAAAGCGACGTCTTGGACACAAACACTTGAAAAATGAGTACAAGAGTGCCTCTTGAATTGATCCAGGATCAGAGTCCTGTTGTCTCCCTCTGTATTCCCTGCAAAATTGGAAGCAGCTTTCAATTTTAGTTGTTTTTGTTGCATCTCAGGTGTGAGAAAAATACTGAGCTCCTTGACGCTGAAACAGACTTGCTCCTTATAGAGAGAGTTCTAGAAACCAGATTTTTAGGTAATGACACGAAATATTGTTGAAGAAATCAAAGCAATCAAAATCTAAGCCTATTTTTTTAACAAGCGGTGTAGTAAAGGAAGCAGAGTTCACTTGCTCTTTATATTTCTTTATGTAGATGACCTATATATATGTATACACACACACACATTATATATATAGGTCATATACTTGTATCCTCTAAGGATACAGGAAAGTAACTGCTCTTTTTTTGGTGGCTTTTTTAAAATCAGAGTTAAGTGCTGGGAATCTGCCAGTGACATGGCCCCAGGTGATGGACTTTAATAGGGCTGAAGTATAGACTGCTACAGGACATGCATTTCTGGAGGAAGCTTCTTGGAAGGTGCTGATGGAAGGGAACTTCTCATAAGCAGAAGAGGTTTTTCCTCTCAGACTCCTGAAAGGGCATTGGTACCTGCACTGAAGGAGAATGGAGTAGGGTTTAGGCTGTTCAGTAAGCTAAATAGCCAGTGTCTCCTCTCTGTGAGAGAGAATCTTGAATGCGATTCTTCTTACTGGTCTTGCAGTTCGGCTTTCATTGCTTACTCTGGAAAAAATGAACACTTTCCTACAGTATAGTTGAGACTTCTGCAGTATGGCTGTATTCCTACTGTCCAAGTCCTTTGGGCTACTGAACATGGAAAGGCAGGGGCTCCCAAAGGGAGATTCAGAGGACTCAGACATGAAGCCAGCCAAAGGAAAATATTGGCGAAAGGATCTTGGGTGCATATTACCCTAGGCAATACCTTCAATTCCTGCCTCCCCTCTTCCTTCAGACTTGTTTCCTCTTATAGCAGAAAGTATGTGGTTGCATGTTGCTGTTTTCTTTGGACATACCTGGTTTATATGCTGTTCAATTTTTTACTTTGCCATCTGCCTTCTTGGATAATCTTATTAGCTGGTCCCATTTGGAAGAAATGGATTTTCCTCTCTGAATAGAATTGTAGACAGGTAGGAAATCCATGCTTCGGTCTATACAGAGGATCTCTTTAGGTTGATTATTTTGACTCTTCAGTGGATGCTGAACTTCTTATTCCAGATAATTTAACTCAAGACCATCTTGATACTATTTGTAACTGCTCTGTAGCAGTTAATCTGATGAAGAGTTCTAATCTTTGTTTACCTTAAGACCTCTGAAATAGTAACACACAAAATGTACATAACCTGGAAAGAAAACTGTCCATCCTCAGTGTTCCCACTGCTTCAGTGTTGAAAATGGGCTCTGCTATAGTGTGACTTGCCAGGTGGTGCAGTCATTGTGGAACGGTGTTCCTGTAGACTTCTGCTCCCCACCCCCCATTGTACCTGCATGTACACATCTACTTACGCATGCCTGAGTCTAATTTGGCTGGGCTACTTGCTATGGCAGTGACTTCCAAATATTTGACTTGCTGAATACCTACCTGGCAACGTAAGCTTTATATAGATGTTACAGATCCCAGGGAAATATGGTGATCTCCCAGAGCTTTCCATCCTTTCTCCTGTGTAGTATAGAACAGGGATATGAGATAATACATGGTCAGTGTTTACTAAAAAGTATGCAGTTACTCTTACACAGAGATAAGACTTGCACATTCAGAAACAAAGGCCAGTCAGCACCATCCTCTCTTGTAGGGTAGATAAATTCAGGGAGAGAACTGCCTGCCTTGAAACCTATAAGCAGCGCAAGTTCCAGTTGCTCTTTGCCACAGGATAAAAAAAGGTTAAGCTAAAAACTTAAGCTTACATATACATTGTGTGAAAAAGGACCTTCTTTAGCATAGGAAAGTTTTGGGGAGTTTGGGTTTTTTTCTACTTGTTTTTTGATTAGAAAGGCAATTTATTGTTCCCTGTTGACCTTGTTCAGGATAATAACGTGTATTCTACTATGCTGTCTTTCTAAAAGATAATTTTGGCCTTTGTGTGAAAACTTACCCTTAAAAGATGGCAGATTAGAAGAGTGCCTTTCAGTTGTTACATCTTTAGAGGCATAGTTAAGAGATGAATCAACACTGTTTGAAGTATCTTAAATATGTAGTTAACAATGTGGATCTCCAGTTCATTGGGCTACAGCAGCCATAATCAGCATGACTTCAATAGCTTGACTTTATTCAGTGGGCTAGTGATGATCAAAAATAAACGGAAAAACACAGTTGGTTAGAGTCATCTCAGAAATACCCTGAACAAGGAACAAAAATAGTCTCTGGTTGCCTTTTATCTAAATACCATTTTCACAGCAGATAATGCATAATCTGCATTTTAAAAAATACTTGTACATATATGCAGCAAAACTCACTTTGAGGATCCCTACCGTATGCTCTTCTGTGGTGAAGAGGTGAAGGAGGAGAATCATGGTTAGAATATCTGAACACAAAAGCAGACAATATTAATACAGGATAAAATAATACTGTTATGTGTAAGCAGGTCTTGGTTTTTGGAACTAAATTGGTATAAGCCATAGAATTTTATTGTATTATTCATTTTTGGTATATTGGTTGGTTTATCTTCAAAAAAGCCTTTAGATTCCTTTTCACACTTAAACGTTTAAGTGTTGAAGGCACTACTCAACGACAGTAGTTGAAAATGAATTGCATATACTGATCTGCTTTTAGGCAGTCAGACAATATATCAGTCTTATTTTGCAGAATGAGTCCATGATCGAAAGGGGGACAAAACTGGTGTTCGCAGGAGTCAATCATATATGAAGTCTTGTCCGTTTGTAGCTCTGAGAGAAGAATTTTTATTCTCGATCTTGGAATGAATAAGGAAGGTTGAACACTGTAAAAGAGTTAAATTATTTTCCTTTAATAATAGGATCAGAAGAGAGCCACTTCTGATCTTCTGTGAGGGGAAGAAAAGCTAATGCAAAGAGAAAGAGACCTGAGACTTAATTCGTAAGATTTCCAAGTTGCAAGACTCATATGCCCTTTAACTGAGAGTCTTGAACAAACGTCAGCATGAAGTTTAGTTTAACTATTGCAAATACGCTCTTATTCAAATTTTCTGTTTAATTAGGGCACTAGAAAACAGTAAGCTCAAATTGAAGGAGGAGAGGCACTGGGTACGCTAATGTGGTCTGCAGGCACCAGAGGTATTTTTGTTTTCGGTAGGTAAGTTGAAAAGAAAATGAAATATAGGGTTATAAATTTGCCTCAATAGACTGAGGACGAATCAAATTTTGATAAGGAAAAGTAAACTCGGACAAGTAAATGTAGTTGATTAAGGAGAACTGTATGTCAAAGAGGTTTTTGGAAGTATGACTAAATTCGTAGTCCTCAGCAGAACGTGTTGAAACTTCAGCTGGTAAGTTAGGTATCCGCGTTTTGCTGACCTTGCTTCTCATTGCTTGCTTGTTGACTGCTGTGGAATAGTTTGCACTCTGATTTGTATACTCAATGAAGTCTGCCTTTCTGGGTGACTTGCTCCTACAGATCTGTGCCGTGTAGCATGCTGATCATACTCATCTTCTGCAGTAATTCATGGCTTCCTCACTTGTGTACTGTCTTTAATTTTTGGTATCTCTTTTATGTTTTCCAGGGCTTCCTCTACTATCTAGCAGCTAAGACTTTACTGTGTTTCCCTTTACTTATTCTTAATTTCTTATGGTAATAAAGCCGGCTTTGGCTATATGCTTTCTCGAAACTCCAAGCTTGGCAACAACTATATTCTTCTGTTTTGATCGCATGTTGCCCCAACCTTACCAGTTCAGTTCACTCCCCATCAGCTCACAAGGAAAATGCCTATTCTGTTCATTAAATACTGGGGATAATCGTTTATTTTCTCTCATTTCATCTCCCTTGTACTTCATGGTTGTACCTAATGAACTTGGTGTTGAGAGCCTGTAAAAAAAAAAAAAAAAAATCAGCTTTCTCTGTTCTTGCTCAGCCTCCTCTTCAGTTTTCCTTTGCATCTCCTTCTTTCTTATCTCTTAAGATGAGAAATCCACAACCAAGTCCCCTTGTTTTTACTTTGTCTAATAATAGTCTCCTGCTTTCCTGCACTAGTCTTCTGCATGATCTCAGGGTATTTCACAGAACCTCTCACTACTTCTCCCTTTCTGTCTTTCTCTAATGCTTGTTCAGCCTTCCATTCCAGGACTGTAAACGTGATATGACTGTTGCTGAAACTCCTATTTACTCTGATCAAATTAAATGTCTCCAGTTCAGGCTCTTCCACCCAGGTCACTTGTTCAAAGTACTTAACTATTTTCTCTTTGTGCATTACTCTGCTGTCTTCATGCTCTTGCTAGCCTGACCTTTTGGTTCTTAACCTGTATCTTTGGTTGTATCTTCAGTATGTTTTGCATCCTGTGCATCAAGAATTAACTAACTTGGTAACTGACAGTCTACCTGGCACTGTGTATTCCCTGCTATAAGTGATCTCATGTCTTCAGTTAACCTTGTGGGAGTTAAAATTTTGTGTGCTTGCCTACTAATTTATTCAGCCTGTTGAAATCCAGCACATAGTCTGTCTTAATACACTTGCAGTGGAAGGCCTGCTGGTTGAAGCTTCAAAGTAACAAGTGTTTTTGTTCTCATGTATCCTACTTAACTCTTAATCATTTGGCCATGCTACCATACTTGCTCCATTGCTTGCAGCTGTAACTTGGAATTGCCTTTTTCTTCTGCTTGAGTGCACGCCTTTAAAGTGTGAAAGAAAGAGTAGGGTTTTAACAAAAGAAGGGCAGAAATTGATTCTTGGTTATTACAATGACCAGACACATGCAATAACAATGCAATGTTTTCTGGGTCCTGTAAACGCTTCCTCCTTTACCTTTTGTTGGCACGCGTGTTGCACAGACATCCTGTTTTATGCCTCCAGGTAGGCTATAGCTTCCAGAATTGTATTGGTCGCTGAAGTTCACCATCTTGCTATTTTCAGTATTTGAAAGCCAAAACCAGAAGAGTTTGAAGTAGATCAGGGCAACGTTGTTCTTCTACATAGTGGTAATGGCATTGTCAAGCGACCCTCCCTTGTTTCGCTTGTAAATACTTTCATGATATGCTTTGTTGGTATTTATGCATAAAGGCTCTATGAGTCGTCTTAACCTTTTTGAAACTTTACCAATAACAAGATATTTACTAGAGATTACCTGGGTTATGATAATGCTTGGGGGAGAATATCAGATTCTTAAGAAGCTGCTGTTCATAAAATAGTAGTATTCTTCTGTCTTCCACTATACTTAACATTGACCTCTTTTCCTATATATCTTTGGACTGTAATATTTTTGAGATACGGCTTTGTAATTTAACTTGAGAAGTCCTCCATGTGCATTGAGTACTATGCAAAATAAAGCACTGTGTGCAAGAGACTGCAACCTTTCATGGCTTCAAAACAGCGTAAACAGAGTGAAAATATCTGACTTTCAGTAGAACAAGTCCTGTCACAGTAGTATTTGTATAGTAGACCATGTCATATTCAACACCAAAAATCATAAATAAGGTAACAGATACTGTGATTAATTAAAGTTTGTCATATCTGAGGTTATTTTAACAGAAGAAAATTGCCAAGAACTTTAAAAGAGGGGATAGATATGTGAGCAGGTAGCCTTGTTAGAGGTATTGCATGTGAAGCGTGTTGGGACAATATGAACCTGTGACATGCACTGCAGAGCTATGTATTAATAAAAACTAACTGGGGAAAAATATTTGAGCGTTACTGTGGCTGTCTCAATGAAAAAAAGCATATAATCTGAGAGGGGTTTTATGCTTATCTTGCAAAAGTAAACATCTCTGATATTTTCAGTTCTGTTTCCTGTATATAATAATATCCAATTCTGTAAAATTCTGATATATATTGGACTTCTTCCATTGTTACTTTTTTAAGATACAAGGAAGAGATTCTGGAAATAAGTGTTTATAGCTGTCTTTCACTTAGAGATAACTAAAAGGCCTGTGATAGCAATACCTTCCGTTACTCATACACTAAGATAAACTGCACGGTTTTTCTTGTAAAATTGAAGGACATTTAATAGAAGTTTGAAACTTGCCATTTAAAGTGTATAGAGGTAATGTTTCTACAAAATTTTTTTGTAAACCAGTGATGTCTCTAGCATGCCTTTAAAGCTGTAGTAGACTAAAATAGTTTGCTGTGTGCCTGCCTGCTGCCCAGCCAAAACTAGCCAATAAACAGTGAAGTTAAGCTGCTCGTAGGCAGCTGATATTCAGTTATTCAAATGGCTTATGCCTGTTGAGATTAACCTTCTAGCATAAGGTACTGTCAGAGATGGAGTACCAGGGAAAACTAGTTAAAAGATTGTCTCCTCAGAGGAAAAAATGCCTATGTGCCCATCCTCACTCCCTTCAGAGAGCAGTTTTTTTGGTTTTGTTTAGTGCTTTCTCTTCTTCCAAATATAACACTTGGCTTTGAAAGTAGGAAGGCTATTCTGTAACGTTAATGTTCTATGTCCTGGCCGATAAGTTTTCAACAGCATTAGTTTCCTGTTTCTGGTCTTTTGAAGCTGTACTGTGTACTTGTATTTAATTCTTCATCTGTAGGGACTTGTAAATGAATGTCCTATTCATTTTATTAAGAAATACTAATAAACCCATTACCTTCTGTTTGCTGCCCAGTATGATGAATTGGTTCCTGCATCACTGACAACCAAATATGGAGGGTTTTATATCAACACTGGTACACTGCAGTTCCGCCAGGCATCTGACTCGGAGGATGAAGACTTTGCAGAAGACAAAAAGCAGAGGCCACCTAAAGTGAGAACTATTAATTGTACTTTGCGTAGAGAACTTATGGCTAGGTGGAGACTGGGAAAGATTTGACATACTTAGAATGTCTCAGATGAGGAGGCTGAAAGCAGAGTGATGCACAGTATTCTTCTACAGCAACTTCTGTTTTGTGGCTAATGTACAAGCATTGGGGAAATAACTCATGATGTCTACAGGTAGGCAGGCAAATGAGTTGAGCCCATCCATTTTAAGAAGTGATAGATAGTTCCTTAATTTTACAGGAGTGTTTTTATGTAAGATGAAAAAGTGAAAATGCCCCAACACTACACTTACCATCTTGCTAAAATTTGCATGATTTGTAATGGTGCCTAATATTCAGAATAACACTTAACACAAAATACCTGTTAAAATGCAGTTCAGCTTATAAAACTAGCTATTTTAAAATAAGCTTATATGCTCTCGCACAGTGTATTGTTCTATGTACTTTCAGAAGTTCTGATCAATGCCAGCATAACTATTTGCACATGCCATTCACAAGTTCCATTCATAGCATTCCTAGAATTTTCTATTTTCTCTGTCCTTTCCTGCATTTTAGCTTTTCTTTTTAACTTATTAGATAATTTTAGGAGCTGGAAAATAGTTTTATTATTGAAAACTCTGAATTAAATAGCTATTTAGAAAGATTAACAATGGCAATTTGTCAGTAACTGCAGTTGTTACTTAGGAATCTAGTTCTACTGTTTGGCCTTTCACATATTGAGGTACTTTTCCATGACTGGAAAAATGTAAATTAAATAGCTACTTATGATAAATTTGTAAATAGAAACAGAAAGAAAGTGCAAGGAAGGTATTGGGTTATTTTCAGATGAAAAGGTGACTGTTATTTACCTGTCTGTCCTTTTCCTTCCTTCTTCTCTCTGCTCTACTATAGTAATGTCAGCTTTGATTCGGAAAATGTAGGGCAATTTTTTTGAAAATCAAATGCTTCTTGCTGTAAAAGCCTTGTAGGTTGGAAAAAACATTGTCCTTTATTTGGTCTGCTTTGTAGATAGCAAAGTTAAAAGAAAGCGAAGACCGTGGAATGAAGAAGCGCAAGCGGAAAGACGAAGAGACAGAAAAGGAGAAGAAGCCTCGGAAAATGAAAGTTCCTAAGCAGTTGGGGTAGGTTTCTTTCTTTAGACGGACTTTTCAGAAGTTTGCGTACCATAGTGAGATTTTCATAGCTTTTTAGAATAAAGGGGTTGTGGGTTTTTTTTTTTTTCAGCCATAATTAAGAGGTAACAGGTTTTGTTTGGAAACTCATGTTTTTTATAAATTAGTTCTACAAGCTTATTAAAAAAAAAAAAATTAATTCAACTCCCACAAAATTTGTAATGATGAACAGTAAAGCATGGAAAGATAAATTATGGAAAAGAAATTCTGAGTCTATGAATAGAATTATCCATTACTGTTCTATCCCAGGCCTTGTAGTAGTAAAAAAATCATATCTTTCCTCTCCATCTTCCAGTGAAAAATGTTTTTTTCCCCCTATCCCTAGACTCCTGTTCTGGAAAAATGTAAACACAGTTTAAATATTCTCCATGTCTCTTACTAAACTTACCTTTTGTTTTATTTATCTTTCTTACTAAATTTATCTTGTGTGAGCTTTCCTGTCTTCTGAGGCTTGTATGGAATGATTAAGGTGATGGGTTTACTTAACTGGTTCAGAAAAACTCCCCTCGAATGAAAGCTGTACTATTCTTATAAATATTTGAGTTGGTATTGAAAATTTGTTATTGATACTGTTTCTGTCCTGGTGGTGATTTAGGGAAAAGTGCTCAATTTGAGTAGCACATAAATGTTGAGCCTGTATGACAAAAATTGTTAGCAGTCAAGAGAATTTGTTTAACCCATGTAGCACACCTGCGCTTAAAGCAAGCTACCACCATTCAAGAGTCAGGCAAATTTTAAAATGTTTTAGAGGCATAGATTAGCCGTAACTTTAGCAGTGGTGCCAGTCTCTCCATGCTTAAATTGAGAAGTTAAGAGTAAATAAGCTTTGCCTTAATGCGTGCAAAACTTGGAAAAAAAAATTGGAGAGCATGGAATCACATGAGTGACAAGGGTTTTGTGCTTCCATCTTCAGATTATTCTGTCACCCATCACAAGATGCTCACTTCCCCCTGCTAATTTCTTTTAATTGTACTGAACATTTTTGCTGAAGATGGCTAAGGCTTTGGAAGTCACATGCACTCTAATGAAAGATTTCTTTTTCTCTACAGAGTAATGGCCTTAAATTCACACAAGTCTGAAAAGAAGAAAAAGAAATTATATAAAGACTCACTTTCTCTGGCTGCCATGATCCGTAAATTTCAAAAGGAGAAGGAAGCCATGAGGAAGAAGGAATCTGGTCCAAAACCTCCAGTGACTATTGCAACCTCTACCCCTAGTAAAATTCCTTCTTCCTCTCTCAGTGCAGGAAATGATATCTCTGACTTGAACCTGAGGATCAGTGATCCTGTCCTCTCCATTTTTGGTAGCACAAATGAACGTGAGCTCCTGCAAGAAGCTGAAAGTGCCCTGGAGATTCTGGGAGACATTGACTTTGACAAGTTGCTTGATGGCACTTCTGATGGCAGCCCAGTATCTGAGCTGTCAGGAGAAAATGGAAATGTCACTCAGGCAACCTACACCTCTCAGGTCATGACACCCAAGCAGGTGCCGGCCCTCCCAGAAGGTCTGCCTATGCTTCTTGAAAAGCGCATTGGAGACCTTCGAACAGTAAGTATGAATTCACTGGTAAGGGATTGCATTCAAGGATCTGAGAGAACAAGGAAGAATAACTAGGGCCTGAGCTGTCATCCTCAGAAAAACTGGCTGAAACATTAAAAAATGTAGCATTGATCTTACTGTTGATCTTAATGGCTGTAATTAGACTGAGGCAAATATGACCACAGAGATGATACAGGTTAATTGTTGAGGAGATATTTCCCGGTGGAAATAAGGTTTTCTGCTTAATCTTCTATATACAGTAACTTGTAATATTTTTCCATAATGGGAGTGTCAGTAAAATGTTCCCATTCTTTAACTTTGAATTAATAGTTGGTAAAATGAATGGTTGCTCTCATTTGTATTGGAGAAGAAACCTGAAACACTGCAGCTTACAATCCAATATTGGCCTTGAATTCTAGCCCTGTAATTTGAATGTTCTTAATTTGTCAGTTAAAAAATATATATCTGAATATTTTCCTTTTGGAAGGCTGGAATGGAGTCCAAATATTTTTCAAAAATACTAATTGAAAATATTAGATCCCCTGATTCCAAGCATCCTAAGAGCTTATTTAAAAGGAACAGATGTATTAAGGTATTTTATTATGCTCTTTGTTTCAGTTGTGTTTGTTATCTTAAGAATAAATTTTTGTTTGATAGTTCAGGTTCTGATTCTACATGCAAATATTTCCTTACTCAGAATAAAGTGTAGCTTTTCCTTACTCAGAATAAAGTGTAGCTTTTCCTTACTCAGAATAAAGTGTAGCTTTTCCTTACTCAGAATAAAGTGTAGCTCTTAAGCACTGAAAAAGTAGTTCACCATACCACCTTTTTGGAAAGCAATAATGTAAACAGTAGCAAAGGTTGCTTTGCTGTTTGTTAGATGTGGTTATCGTTACTCTGATACCTGTATGTAAACTTCTTACAGTGTTCTTAGTTGTTTTGAAATGTACTGAGTTACCTGTAGCCAAGGGATTAATATTTATTAAAGCAAGTCAGAAGATTTTGTCTACTTTTGAGTTTTCAGATTAACTTTGCCATGAGTCAGCAATAAGTTTTTAGTAGAACAGAAGAAGAGCTGGATTAGGCCAAAAATTAGTAAGTATTAGTGGCTTACCCCAAATTCGCTCTGCTGCATGATATAGCAAGCCAGCCTATTTGCAGAAAGTGTTAATTCAGTTGCTTTCAGGAAACCTACAGTCTTCTGCTTTTAATCACTGTGTTGTCTTGTGGAAGTGTCGAGCTGGCTGAGCAGAGCAAGTCTATTCATGGGAGTAGGAAGTAGCCATATGTTTTCTCATATTTGGGAGAGAACTACACTGCACGTTGACCTAAAAATGCAACTTCCTTACCCCCTACAATTTGTCATCAGCTGAAACATTATCATTGAGGTAGAATATTTTTCTGAAAAAGCAGGAAAAAAGTGATTCCCATAAACTTTTAAAAAAAGGTTTGAGGCTTGCAGCTTTAGTGCTCTTTAGTACAAAGAAAGCTAAAAAGCTTACAAAGCTGTAGACAAAAGCCTGTGTTCCATGAAGTTATGATATACTTGGATAAAATAGGTTCTTTTTAAAAAACTTATTAGAAAGCCATTGGCTGGATACAATTAAAAACTTCCAACCTCCTTTCATATCTTCTAGTTTCCTAAGTGGGCAGTTCTGAACTACTTTGGCAGAAGATAATACAGTACACCAGCAGGAAAGTAATAAGGTGGCTTTTTTTGTATTGTCAAGATAGCTGTCCACATAACTTATCCTTGGACCAAAAAGTTCAGTGATAGCAATGTGTTTTTGAATCTCCCAGTGTAACTCTCCTCAAAGACCAGCGCACTGTGCTGTATGACTATAATGTTGAAATCAGCTTTAAAGTCTCCCTAGGACCCAAGCATCAAAGCATATCTTTCCTCCCACTTTTATATAAACCTTAAGATGTTAATTGTTGTATTAGTTATTCTTAAAGATACTGGATTTAAGACTTCCAAACTTGTTTTCTTTTTGATATCTTATCACTTAAAAACATCCGTAACTATTTTTTTAAGAACAAAGGCTTCAGTATTCTTTAAACAGATAGTACTCTACCCTCAGCAACTGACTTTACAGTAAAAAGTAGCAAGTATAGTATAGTCCTTACAGGAAATGAAAAAAAAACTCCCTAGATGTTCATAACAGAAATGACAAAGCATACAAGACAATGGGCTAATGCATGAATTCTGATGAAGTATCAGACTCCTGTTTTTCTGTGTGATATAGAGTCCCTAATCATAGAAAATACTTTTCTTTCTAATTTAGATGGGTCAGTTACAAAGAGCAAGAACAGTGAGTATTTCATAGTAATAAAGGAATTTTATCAAGTTAACACTTTTATTTACTTGCAGTTTTTAGCAATGTTGTCACAGCCAACTAGCTACTTTTTTAAAGGCAGAATTATCGAGCCTTTTAAATTTACTTGAATAGTCAGTCTTGTAGCATGCTGACTGCCTCTAATGTTTGGCATTCAGTATGGTATCACACTTGCATGCTGTTCTGTATGCTCACCCTTTTCCAGACCCGTTGGGTATTGGCTTTCTGGTCCCAGGGCCAGAATATAGTAAGAAAATAAGGACATTTAAAAGTGTTTTCTCTCTTGACTCCCATAAATTTGAGGAGTAGAAGAACACTAGAGGGAAGATCTTACTGACTTTGTAGAATGCTGCAGGGAATTGACGTGATTTTCTCCTAGAAGCTGTTGTGGTTTGTGGAAAATAGGAATCTAGAAGCAAAACTAAAGGGATTCTGCATGGGCCTTCCTGAGAGACCAGGAAAAACTCTTAATAAAAAGTAGTATATATAGGAGTAAGCTTGCCTTTTTTCCATCCCAAACAGAGTCAGGAAGAGACCAGACAAAAATACAAAAGTATTAGAGTGGGGCACAGTTCCAATCTTCACTCCCCAAGTCTAAAGATGGAGAGAATGCTGGACAGCACCAGAAAAGAGGGATGAGGTATTCCTCTAGCATACATAATTCCCTTGTAGAAATTGCATTGAGAGGTTGAGATGATCTGTCTCAGAACACTGCGAAGTTATGACTGGGCCAGGCACAATAATAAAGGAAGAAAAGAAGCCTTATATGGATCGAGAGCAGAGTGATTTGTCAAGCAATGATCTTCTTTTTAAGCAAACAGTGATACCGGAATGTTACTGTTGGTGATATTATTTTAGGTGAGATATTAAAACAAAGCTCTTTTTTTTTTTTTTCTTCAGTGTTTTTAACGAGAATAGCATGTTAACCTCAGTGATCTAGGCAGATTTCAAGTAGAATGATTACTTGCCTTAGAACAAGGAGGAGTTTTTATTTGGATATGAATGTGATCTTCACCTCCTTTTCCAGATAGCTGAGAACAGTTTGTTTTTCATGTAATGCCGTTCTCTGGAAAATAATAATGTGATAAAGCTGTAAAGCTGAGGATGTTAAGTTTGTTGGGATAATATGTGCTATGAACATTTGGGTACTTTTTATTGCTGTCTTTTCAGGCCGCAAAGATGTTTGATGAAGAAGGCAGGAAAAAATTTTTCACACAAGACATGAATAATATTCTGCTGGAGTAAGTGCTTATCTGTACAACTCCCCCTTTTGAAAAAGGGGGTGAAAGGAAAAGTATGGGAGAGGAGGTATTACTGAGAATGTTCCTAAAAAGATCTTAACAGTCAATGAAGACAGATCAGTCTAAGCTAGTTACTAGTGAAAGAGATTTGTATATGAATACAATTCCTGTCCTAAGTATCTGTCTGTCTTTATCCACTGTAAAGTGTTTTGTAGTGCCCTGTGTCCTTGACTTTGTGTGCAAAATTCAACAGAACTCTACCATTATTTTCTTCCTGTCCCACATTTTCATAAACTTAAATGCCTTCAGCTTTTATGAAGGAAAATGCAGACTTTTCTGACTCTGTAATCCTTCAACCAAGCATCTGATATAGCAAGTTCTTTGTTCTTACTCTATGAAACAAAAAGTAATCTCTGGAAACAGTAATAGCCAAAATTGAATCAAGCTTGATGTGAAATCGCGGGAGGAAATTAAATTTGAATGTCAGTGTTCAACATTGCTGGGAAAGTATGTCCCTGAAAGTCTTTTGAATGGTCTCTCACCATTGATTAAGACTTCTTCCTTTTTAAAAGGTTAATAACTTAATGCATCTGAAAATATATCCCAAGCTGCTATTTTTAGTATGCATAGCCAGAATGTGTTGTGCATACGAAACTTCCTTAGGTTTTTGTTCAGTCGTCATCTTCATCTTGGAGTGCCTCACTAGTTGGCTGTCTCTTGTTTGTTTGTCAGTATTGAGCTACAGTTACAGGAGATAAATCCTGCCATCCGCAATGGAGTGTACTCTCACCTTGAGGCTTTTGTGCCATGCAATAAGGACACACTGATAAAGCGTCTGAAGAAGTTACACCTCAATGTCCAGGTAACGGCGGGGAAGAGTAGCTCCAGCATAAGTCAGTTGTGTAGTAGTGAGGACAGAGTGCAGAAGGATAGAACAGCAGCTACGCGGTCTCCAGTGAAGCAAAATTTTTTTTTAATCAGTCGCTAGATTGTTTTAAATGCTGTTTTTCTGTGTTCCTATTATTGTGGCTATTCTGAGAACTAGTATTTGCTAAATATTTTAGACCTTTCTGTGTATAAGAATGAAATGTTTTCATTTTGAAAGCTGGATACGGAGTACCTATCGAAGTAGCAGAACTAGAGACCCACAGTGATCATAGTTAGGACTATTATTAGTCCATAGTTAGGACTAAAATTACCGCTGTGTTCATTTTTGTTCCAAGAAAAAAAAGGATAGGTTGATGTTAGATGACCTAGCTTATATTGTTTGTACCGATGTACTGCCTTTGTGCTTCAATCTTGCAAGTACTTTGTTTCATTTACAGTTGCTTTTTTTTTTTAAAGAATATATATGCTCTCCTCTTGAATAGAAATGATATTTGTGACCTAAAGTATCCTGACCTGGTTCTTTAGATGAGATCAGAAGTAAGACTTGCAGAGGATCTGAGGATCGTGAATGCAGGGAACTAAGAACATACTAGGAGGGAAAAGTTTCACGTGCTGTTTCTGCATTCAGCAGTAGGACATAATAACACATAGTATTATAGTTCTTCTCAGGAAATGGTTATGACTCATAATGCAAAGTCAGATGATGTAGGAAGAGAATTTAAAAATATAGGTAAGTGTATAGTATGGTACCACTTTAATGTTTGGAAATAATATTATATACATAGTCCTGATTTTGCTCATTACCCAGAAGACTTTTATACCAGAGTGGTTTTTTTTTTTTTTTTGGAGACTTGATTCATTACTTATTTGCAAGTGTTGGGATACTCTTTGGTCCAGTCGTCTTGCTTTATCCACTCATTTTTTCTTGCCTCTTTTGATTGAAAAGGATTGTTTAAAGAGATCATGCCATAATATTCCTTAAGTGGTTCCTTGTATGTGGCAACCTTTCATGATTTCTGGGCTTAAGACTACATTAATTGTATGAGAAGTTACAAGCATATGCACTTTCATATTGTTGGCAGACCTTACAGAATTAATGAAGTGTCATGTAGGAAACGACTGTTGCAGTCAATAGTTAGTACTGGAAGTATTGCCACTTGGGAGTGAGAAAAACATAATTTCTCGAATGATCTGAAATGCACTTTACTTTGTGTCTAATAGGATCGCTTTGGTGTTTGTGTTTTCCCAGGATGACCGTTTGAGAGAACCACTGCAAAAGCTGAAACTGGCTGTCAGTAATGTCATGCCTGAACAGTTATGCAAATATCAAGAGGATTGTCAGGCCCGTAATCAAGCCAAGAATGCCAAGTAGGTACTTCTGGAATCTGTACGTGACCATTCTAGAGGCCAGCTGGAAGCCTGTCACCAGGTTGTTCATTCCCTGAGCTCAAAGTAGTATGCTCCAGTTTCTTTGTGCATGCCTGTAAGTTTTGAGTTGTACAAAGTACCTAAAGTTTCATCTAAATGAGGTGATCACCTTACTCTAGAAAGAAATCCTGTTAAATGAATGGTATCGATCATGAGAGAAAGAAATTGTACTCTGTGAGGGGGATACCGGAGACCTCAGCATGCTAGATTAATAGAGAGACAATAGAAGGAAGATGCGTTCATGTTTTGACTGTCTTTTGTGCTTTTGTTCTTGTTCCTTGTAGTTGTTTCCCTCCTAGCTAACTGATTTTAGACTTGCTGATCAACGAATTCATGCTTCTGCCTCTTTCTGTCTCCACGTAGAGGCACTATTTGAAGTTTATCATCAACATCCTGATGACGTCCATCCAGTGTGCCCCTTTTCCTCATGATAGTGAGGACCACAAAGCAATAGGGAAGAGGAAGATGAACTGTTTACCCTTCCTAGAAGGGTATAATGAGACTCTGAAGACAGGCCCCTTTTTTCTGGCACCTAACACAGGACGTTAATTTCTTATTTAAGGAAGCAGTTTGTATCTGTGTCATGTACCTATAAAGAAAACAATTGTTCTAAACTTAGGTTGCAAGCAGAAGATGAACGAGAAAAAAATGGATCAGAGGAAGATGATGATGAAAAGCCTGGAAAGAGGGTTGTGGGGCCCAGAAAAAAGTTTCACTGGGATGATACAGTGAGGTGAGCTGAAACTACCTTTTTCCACCAAGATTTTTCGCCGCCTTCATAATAGGATCACCAGGGTGATGATTTTGCACAATACATATTAATAAATAATCCTCTCAGAAGCACAGTTCATTGAACCTTTGGAGAGCATTGGGGCAAAATAGGCAAGCTAGAAAGCTGCACACGCTTTTCTTTAACTTGAAAGGCAAGATCATGCCCAACTCTTTTTTTTTTCACTGCTTATTGATGTGATTTGTCCAAAGGCAGGAAAATTTTTCTGGTGCTAACACCATGGGCTGCTTTAAGCAAAGAACAGAAGTGTAAGCAGAGTTACAGCTGCTTCACGCCACTCTAGGAACGCTGTCACAAAACACTGTCATCCAAAGAGCAGTTAAGATTTGTCACGATAACAGAGACCACCAAAATTGGCTGTGCTGTGTTGGCAGGCTTCCCAGTTCTCAGGCAAGCCAGAATTCAGAATATGTGATGGCTACATCTCCTTTGGACAAAAAAAATCTGTTGTCTCTGGAGAGCAGCAGCACAGATTCTTGTCCGAAATGCTGCAGTCTCATTGCTCTATTTCCTAGAGTAGATTTTATTGATAAACAGGATTATTTAGATTATTTAAGGGAGAGAGATGCTTTTTAGCAAGCAGATCCCACTAAACTAGTCATTTCCCATGGAAGATGTAAGCTGATTATAGAACAAGCAAGAGTATTATTTAGAACATGCCATTGGATTTCTCAAAATAAATCTTTATTCATCCATATTATGGTAGGACAACAGGGACGCGAGCTTTTTGGAATATGTATAACCAGCATAGCTTGGGTTGGCTTGGAAGAGCCATATTTAGAGACGAGATATTTAAGTCTTTTGTTTTTTCAGTTCAGCCTTTTCATGAGGCTCAGAAGGGTGAACGGTGTCTAAATCTGTGCAATTTTAATTTTTTTTTAAGGACACTAAAAAAAAAAAAACAGCATCCCTGTCAGAAAAGCTGTTCTGTTGAAATAGTAAGTGTAGAATGGGATTCATCACTTGCTTTTGGCAAAGTGAGAGAAGACATCTCAGGTGTGAGGAGACCACAAAGATGATGTGGGAATAAATACAAAAAGTTACTAAAGATAAAAAGAAATGAGCTATAAGGCCTGATGGAAAGTGAGGAGAATAGTGGCAGGGCACAAATGTACCAGTTATGGTAGCAAACATGTTAGAGGTAAGTGTTAAACCAAAAAATGGTTAGAGATGAGCTCTTTCTATAACTGCCAGTGGATAGCAGTTATACAGCGTTAGTTCTTCCATTTCTCAGGGCTTTTCTGCTGAGCTTTAGAAAGGACTATTTCTTTCAATACGTTTGCTCTGTGTTTGTTTTTTCTTTAGGTCTTTGTTGTGTAATCTTGTCAAGATCAAGCTGGGATGTTATGAGCTAGAGCCAAATAGAAGTCAATCTGCTGAAGATTACCTCAAAACCTTTATGGAAACAGAGGTGAAACCACTTTGGCCTAAAGGCTGGATGCAGGCAAGGTAAGATACACACTTGATATATCTATTTATTGTGTTGTGACTATTTCCTGAACCTTATTTGTTGTGATACAGTTCATTCATCCATGTACTACTGACGTTAAGGATTGTTTAAAAGTTCAAAATATGCCAGTGCAACTGGAATATTATAGAAGAGTGGATGTGTTTTTTCAAAAGTAAAGTTTCCATCTTGTGTGGAAGCTTGAGAGTTGAAAGAACACTGCTTTTCTTGGAGAATTATTCCCTTTAGTCATCTGCCAGAGACTGAATTTACTAACGTTCATAACATTGTCCGTGATGCTCCTTTTTGGGAGGGAGAAAAGGGTGACTGCTTGGAAAGCTTTTCCTGTGATGGAGGATGATACAGAAAGCAGTGTTATCTGTCATACTGCATCTCAGACTGCTTACAAAATACATAGACTTTAAATTTATAAACCGGAATTTCAACACCAGAGTTTTTTTTAAAAAACAAAAAACAAAAAAACCACGTTTTATAGCAAGTTTTGTACTCTTATTTCCTATGTACAATCAGGATGCTCTGTGGTGCCGCTGTTCAAAATACACCAGTGTTCTTAGTGAAAACTTGTGCTTGATTCCTACTGATGTATTAAGAGGGGAACAACCACGCAGAGCAAGAATAAAATGAGATAACCAGTCATTCTGAAATACAAATTTGGCAAAATTCTCAAGCATTTTGAAGTGGGAGGAGAAAAGAAGCAAATACATATGACAAGTTTGAATCCTTTCCTTCTGTAGCACCCATCACAAGACAGTTTTCTATCAAATCTTTACGTAAGTGTGAAAGCTAGGTGATATAACAGTACTAATAGATTTGCTGAAGGATATGTTGAGTATAAATTAGTCAAATCTGTATCAAGTTGTAAAAATAACTACACTGAGTAGTCAGTGTAAAAAATGAGGGTGTAATAACTTGCTTGTGAAATAGTAATGAAATGAACAAATGAAATACTACATTTCTTGGCATACTAGAGGCTTATTTTTTATTCAAGGATCTAACTTTATATAGTAAATATGTCGATGAATACGTCAGTAAAATGTTAACCTATTTGGAAGGCTTTGCTGAAGTAGACAAGACATGAAATTGCAGTTTTGCTTAAGAGAAGATGCAGAGAGATCACTGATGATAGCAGTGAAGTAGTCAGGTGAAGGTGTGTGGTCATTCTAGAATGTGTAAGTGAAGCATGTCAAAACGTTGTATTTGAAAACATTATAGCATATAAGGTACCCTTTCCATAGGGTAAGTATGCTTTAAAAGTTCTATCAGGTATTTAAACTTTCTCTAAAAGTGGTTTCAAGGAATAAAGCAATGATAAGAGCTGTTTGAACATAACTTTCTGTTGACCAGCATGGTTTGTTCACAAACTGGGCAGTTTGGATACCACAAACTGGGCAGTTTGGATACCACAAACTGGGCAGTTTGGATACCACAAACTGGGCAGTTTGGATACCACAAACTGGGCAGTTTGGATACCACAAACTGGGCAGTTTGGATACCACAAACTGGGCAGTTTGGATACCACAAACTGGGCAGTTTGGATACCACAAACTGGGCAGTTTGGATACCACAAACTGGGCAGTTTGGATACCACAAACTGGGCAGTTTGGATACCACAAACTGGGCAGTTTGGATACCACAGTGATATGTATTCACGTATAGATCATCCTGTACTTGCATCTAGAAACTATTTTGAACACTGTGGAAGACTTCCATCAAGCATGTTTTTTATTGAGTTGTACTTTATCAATCATTACTGTTTTTATATCTAAATGTATAATTTGCATCCTATCCTGCATACTTCTGGGAGGTGTCTGAAGGAGAGACTACTTGTTCTCAGTCCTAAATTTTAGGAATATTTCATATTTTGTCTGTAAAGATTCTAGGCTAAACTCTGGAAAACCACTTTCCACTGTCTGAAATGTTTATCTCGCTGTTGTGAGATATCAAGGCTTGTACACCAGTTATGTTGATTTCAAAGCACAAATCAACTATGTTGTTATAACCCTTAAGCTCTAACATATTATAACTGCAATGGATGAATTTGTTGCTTTCAGTGTTTCTGTCAGAAAACTGGATGTTCTTATGTGCCCAGTGAAAGCAAGTCAACAGTTTACTATTTTTGGGGACCTGACAAGAGAAGAAATAGTTTTGTACTGTAACAAGACCATCTGCACTGGAACCACTGTTTGTATTTTGGGCTTTTCAGAAGCAAATGGACATCTGTCCTTTATAGGATAGCTCTTTCCTTTCCATAAAACTCAGGCTGCTTTCTGTCTAAAAATCTGCTTCAAACAGGAGTAAGTAACTGTGTGAAACAGGTGATGACCAAATTGTAATGACTGGGCCAAAAGGTAGATAAATGTTTTGTCAAAGGTTATATTGTAAGAAAGAGAATATGGATGTCGACTCCTGCATGATAAAACTGCCAGTCGGTAGAAAAGGAATGGTAAGCGTTTTGTTCCCTTTCTGGAAGTCACTGATCAGAACAACTAGCTTTAACTTCATCATGCTTGTTGAATGTGTGTTTATTCCATAGCGGTTGTATACTATTGCATTTTGATGCATTCAGCTTTGACGTGCGTTTCTGTTAATTGAATGGTCCAACTTACAGCCCTCTTTCAAACAGGTAAAGAGGGATGTATAGAAATAGAGTTTTAGATAAAATAAGATTTGTACTGTGCTTTGTGAATCTGTCAATGTTTTGGCTATAACGTATACTAAGCAAATTCTTTTCAATTAACTGGCTACCTAGGAGATAAACCAGTAAATGCTTTTTCTGCAAGGCAGTAGTAAAAGCATCTTTCCTGGCGCGTGACAGGCTATATCAATAATCAGGGACATGATATTACAGCATTGTAGTGTAAATGATTTCCTACAGAAATGATTCTAGATCCAGGGGAGCACTTCTCTACTCTCCATTTAAGAAATGATCTATTGTAACTTGTAGGCAAACAGTTATGCGTGGAAAGAGGAAAAGCAAATATTTCCTAGGATCTGACAATGGTAACCCCTAATACAATAATTACTCATCTCCTGGGTGCTATAAGTTCCTCATCTTGTTGGGGCGTTATGGTAGGGATGATCATGCTGAAGGCTTACGTTTTGTAGCTCTATGTGCGGCCTTGAGCAAGAAGGAGCTACAGAAACTGGAGAAAATTCAGACATTTTGTATTAAAAATGGCCTACTGACAGGTAAACATGTATTTCATAAGAAATGCTTACTAATTCAAGTAGGTCCACAGTACCCAAACTTTGTAGGTTCAACTCAGTAAAGTGCTTTTTGTTTATTTTTCTTCTTCTCTTAAAGACATTGTTCCCTGTAGCTTAGTGCAGAAGCATGAGGTAAGGGTACCTCAGTGGTAACTTCAGCTGTAAGATGTACTGTTTTCATTGGCCCAAGTGTATCACAAGTACAATGTCCATTGTTGTGTGCGTGTGTTTTTTTAATATGCATACCTTCCATACTCTGCCCCAGGAAATTTTATTGTGATATACATGGATTTAGAGAAACACCTTTCATCCTAAAGGATTCCAAATCCTTTTTATATAAATAGGTTGCATGTTAATTCCATATCTAGCTAAAAAAACTGTGCAATCTATGTATATGTTTAAAATAGGCTTCCTGTCCCTTTTACTTCTATTTCCATTAATTCCAAGAGTTTTGTCATCTTTGAAGATGATCTCGCAAGTAGACTTGTGGCGCATTTTTTTGGTAGTTCTGGTGGGAGCTCCTGTGCGATTCAGGCAGCGCGCTTGACCTGAAATCGTAATCAGAGAAACAGTCTCATACTGAAGCATCTCATGACCTTTAGCATTAAAAAATATGTATGCCATAGAGTGATTATTTTCCAAGCATGTTTTTTGCTTTAGAATGTGTGTGTGTTACTCTGTCCTTTTGTGCATCGTACCTTTTGATTTCTGTCCTTGTAGTAATTACACTTCTTGTCTTGAACTTTGAAGCGTGGCATTACAAATTACCAGTGTTTGGGATGCCAGAAATGAAAAAGACTAAGGAAAAGACAAAGCACCAAGGAGAAAGTGTGGGGGAGGGGGAAAATTGTTTGGAGAAGATGGATAGTTCCAAAAGTGGCAAATTGAACTTGTAATGAGGAAAGTCTGTATCGTTTCCTGCTGTTTTTCATAGGCATTCAGTAGTCTCTGGAGAGTAATGTAATACCGGTTTGGAGACTGGTGGGCTGAAGAAAATAGATGCAAGCATGGAGCTGAAAGTTTTAACGGTGGAATGGCAAACATTGGAACCATAGCTAGGATGTTAATGTTTTCGTATTAGTTTGCATGAGACTTGTGGATACATGGATTTTTCATAACTGTTGCAGCTCTACAGGATGTGTTATCGGTGGTGAAAGCTGTTTAGACAGCTGCTTGAGATGTGGTCCGTGTTTACATAATGGCATTGGTGTAGGAAAACCTTGGCTGTTTCTGTGCAATACCACTCTAGGCTTGCCTACTTGGGAGTAGGGAAGGGGAGTGAGTTTTCATTAGTTATCTGGTTATAGCTGCATTTGGATAGCAAGCTGTAGTATAGGTACAGGTCATGAATTGTTCTAACTTTCCAGAGCAGGAGTTGATAACATGGGAGTAAAAGCATGTGAACTTTCTTGGGATTATTATATTGAGTCTTGCCATTTATGGAGCTGCACGACTGGCTCTATAGTAAAATGCAAATGTAGATGCAGTGTAATTGATATCACGGAAACGGTACACAATGAGTGTCTCTTCTATTTTGATTTCCCCCCCCTGTCCCCTTACTTGAAAAAAAAAAAAAGAAAAAAAAAAAAAAGAAAAACAGCAAACTCAAACCTGTGATCAGTGTGTGGGTAGTTAGTGTGACGAGTTTAAAGTAATCCTTAATTTGATATTTGAACTATTGTTAACTGCCCTGAGAAGGGGGGAGAATTCAAAATGTTTCTTCTGTCCTGC